TGCAATGACACCGAATACAGGAAGTTCACAGGCCAGTGGGTGGGAAATCTTATGGATCCAGTGGCGTTGTAAGCATCTCGGCACTGGCAGGGGTCTCCACGTGCCTCCTCCAGCTCAGGGCACTAGCCTAGCTCCATGTGTCTTGTCACCTGCAATGTCTCCTGGGGAGTGAGTGTATGTCCCCACCCCCAGCGAGTATTTATCTCTTTAGCGCCTCCAAATGAGGTCATTAAGCTGCAACCTGATTGACAGGCTAAACTCCATCCCTTCACTTGTAAGTCTCAAATTGACAACAGATTGTGTAACTGCCACGCTGACAGTCCTTGGTGTTCTCTGTCGCCTGTCAATACGTCTTTACATGGCATCTCCTTCTGTGTGGTATTGTCTCGGTGCCTGTTCCCAACAATTATAAAGACACCACTCAGAAGGGATCTACGTAAAACAGAGAGTGGGAAGAAAGCGTAGGTGATGAATTCTTTATTCTCATAGATTAAGGAGCCGGGCAGGCTGGGTTTCTGGAGCAGAGGGAGGCCTTCGCCCTTTGAGTTAGAGATGAGTCCCAATCACATTCTCATCATTAGTATTTGTCCCCACGATATCCTCCCATCATAGTGTGACCTTCAAGGTGACCTCTTACAAGCACATGGCTGATTGCTATCTGGCCGGCAGCTTGATCTGTAGGGCCAGATGTGTTGCAATTGCTCTCCCTGCTCAGGGGACAGTCACTCCCCTTACCTGCCCCAGCACTGGTGTTAGGTTACTCCCCCAATGAAGTCAGGGACCTTTAGGGTTAGGGTACTGCCCACTTTGTTATGTTTGGGCTTACCTGTAATTAGGAGGACTTGCAAGGGCTCCCCCCCATCCCCCCACCACACCTCCCCTGGAGTATATAAGCCGTTGTTTGGAAATATATTCTCTCTCTGCACAGACCTGGCTCCTGAAGTCATGACAGTCAAGGTGAGCCCTTGCATGCTTTCTCTTGTCTGATATCTCTTTAATTTACTTTCCAATTACACAACCGTCCCCTTGGACTCCTTCGATTGTGAGGGCTGATACTCCACAGGGATTAGAACCCATTCTACTCTGATGTGACATCATTGAGCCTATTTCCTAACAGGGTCACATGCGTAGGTCCAGGGGTCAGAGCTTCAACATACATTTAGTGGGGGTGGATATAATGCTCCTTCCCCCGCTCCCCGAGACCGTCACAGGGGAAGTGAAAGGTGAAGTCTTCTTACCTCAGGCCACAGCATGGTGTGCCCTTCCGTTCTCCTCTATTCTCAGACCCTACTGCTTCTCTGTTTCTCTCAAGAGGGCTGTGGAGTTTGGAAGTCATCTTCCCCAGGTGGGCTGCATAGAGACTCTCTTGGGAGCAGCGTAGTGGAAGACCAAGATTCTGCTCAGAGCAAAGCCTCTGTCTTAGACCCAGCTAAGCCGAGGGCACACAGAAGGCTCCAAGAAGCATAGAGCGAACCCTCGAGCTCATCTGGGAGGACAGATCTCCTGAGCCGTGGCTGGAACTGAGCCCCAGTTGCAGACGTGGGTGAGCTGTTTGAGCTCAAGAAGCGGGGGA